CTGTTGCCCTTTTATAGCCTCACACCCTCTCCCCTTCCTCCATCTCCCACCCATCCCTGACCAAAGGACACTTCAGAAAGGACAGTGTATGATGACTTGCTCCTGCTTAAAACTCTGCAGAGGCTTCCCCTTCATTGTTCCTGGAGCAAAGCAGCACATCCTTGTCAGAGCCCACGAGGCCCAGAAGGCTCTGGCCCCTGCCCACCTCACCCGACTCTCATCCTACACTTATGCCCTACAAGACTTCTGTTAGCTCCTCAAACACGCCGTCTTTCTGCCCCCATCAGAACAAACCGTTCTGTCTGCCTGATGCTCTTTTCCTGGCCTTTGTTTGTCACTCAGGGCTCATGGTATAGATCACTAAGCTGTCCCATGCCTGGGCTAGCTTAGGTTTTCCTCTGCCTCCTGATTCTCCGTGGTCACACACTGTACATTTGTAATTATTTATCTATATTGTTTAGCACCGTATACCCAGCTGTAAGTTATGAATGGTTTTAGCTACAGGCGTCGGAATGGCTGATCACCAGTGCCTTAAACTAATGGAGATTTGTTTTTCTCACATAAGATGTCAGAGGTCCATGGTTGTTGGCAGTGGTATCTGCTCAGTGATGTTATCAAGGACCAGAATTCTCTGTCTTTTTTGTTTGCCAACCTCAGTGTTGACGTTTTGGCCTCATGCTTGGTTACCTCAAAGTCATAAGGTGACTGCCACAACTCCAGGCATCACATCCTCGTTCAAGGCAGGGAAAAGGGGCAAAGGCTTTTAACTCAAAAGACTTTATCCTTGTCAAAAGATCCCCACTAGCCTTCCCCTTCATAGCTCGTTGGCCAGAACTGAGCTTCCTGTAGCTCAAAGGAGGCTGAGCAGGTGATTTATTCCCTTTAGCCCTTATAGTGAGAGAAATGGGCAAGGGCTGAGGGATTGGAAATAGCTGTTGGGGAAGCTAGCCAGCAGGGTCTGTCACACGAGCTCAGCACTGCCACTCAGGAAGCATGTAAGTATTTGTGGCGAGAGCGAATGAATGCACAGATGGGTAAATAAATGAATGAGTGAGTCTCACATTCAAACCAGATTCTTTTTCATACCTGGTCATCTACTTTCTTATACTTGAACCCTAGATATTTTGCACATTTATCTTGACTTTCTAACTACTTTGTAAGGGTCTCACAGGCAGGGACATTTTTATGTTTTTCTAAAGGACACTGTGTGCTGGACACATAACAGTTGCTTAGTATTAATTTAAGCACAGCAGAAAAAGGTCAAAAGAGTCATTAGGAGGCTTGTAGGCCCTGCACCTTTATTTAAAATGATATAGGACTTATAGGACTTATATTAAATGGAAAATATAAAACATGTATGTGTGCAACACCATTGTCCTAAACTACTTATCAGGGTAATATATTTAATTTATAATTCTCATGATTAAAAGAGAAGCAGACTCCAGGGAATCCAAAACAGTTTATGGGGAATTATGGTTAGAAAACGATAATAGCTATTTGTTTTTAGTTGCAGTCCGTTCCAGAAATGGAGCTGGATATTTGAAACACATTTAAATGTGGCAGGCATCATTTTTCCTCCAAGAACATTCAGGTTAGATGCTGGGAGGGAAAGTACATGGGAGTTAAGCTGTGGCCAATTCCCAAGGACAGTCCCTTAAGGACACACCCAGTCACCCCTTGGCTAGGATTGGGCTGGTGGCTTCCCTGCCCCTTTCAAGCTCCCTGAGGATTCCAGAGCCCCGAAGGACCTGCCGCTATTCAGTGCCAAGCGCAGAACACGCCCTTTCACTGGCTCAGGGTTTAGCTGTGGCCCGTGCTTGGGGGGAAAAGACAAAAAACATGTCAAATAAAACTCACGTATCCCAGGGCCCTGAAATCTTTCCCACGGAGGCTCTGGGTGCCCGGCTGTAAATTACAGGGTGTTCTGGAACACGGAGCAGGGGCAGAAGGCAAATGGAAACTGAGGTGGCCATTCAGCCCTTGTGGCTGAGCATGGAATTGCACCACCAGCAGCCGTCGGTTTCTGGGAATCCCAGATACAGGGGCACCGATGAGCTCTCAGCCTGCCCATCCCTGAACTGTATAATAGGTGCTTTCTTCCTTGTCAGAGTTCATTTCCTGACCCTGGAAAAGGGACACAGCATCTGGCGGGTGGAGAGAATCTCTCTTTCCGGGTTTGCTAGGGAGAGCGTTCCTTGATTCCCTGCTTCCGTCTCCAGCTATTTAATGCTGGGTTGAGCAAATGCACGAAATCTTGAAATCACAACATCCTACGCCCCCTAAAATCTCATTCTGCAAATGTGCTGTCTGAGCTAGATACCCATTTAACAATTTAGATAATTTCATCTTGCAGAACACCATTTAAGTGGCAGCTGCTTGTGTCCTGCTCCCGCTGAAAGCGGTTGGAATCTGTTCTCTGGAAAAATGATTGCAGAACTTCTCTGCAGTGTTTTATTATGGATATGACTGTTTCTCCCTCTTCCCTTAATTTCCCCCTTCCCCCGAATTATACTGATTTGTTCATTGCTGCTTTATTTTATGCTTATGCATATGTGTATATGTGCACACACCCTGTTGTACTCCCCAACACACCAGGGGTCCAGAGCCTTGGTTCCATTTTTGACAGGGAACCACAAAATTCTCTCTCTCTAGCCTTTTATTTTGAACACCTTTGGTAGGTGACCCTGATGTTGCTAACATCTTTTGTGGTCTCTGGATGAATTTCCACCCTTCCTAGATGTAGAAAAATTTGCTGGCAGACAGCCCCCAACTTACCTATCTCTGGCTTAGGTTGAAAAATCTATTAGTTATTTTTAATAAGCTTTTAATATTATAGAAGAAGTATATATACACTGTAGAAAATCTGAAGATATGGACAAGCAAAAAAGAAGTTTAAACAGCATATTCCCACCACTTAGAGATAGCCACTGTTAAAACCTTTGTGCATAGCCTTCTGGATGTTTCTCTATGCTTATTTCAGATAATAATCTCTACCTTTTCATTTTTCTTTTCCCCAAAGCCCCAGTACATAGTTGTATATCCTAGTTGTAAGTCATTCTAGTTCTTCTATGTGTGACGCCACCACAGCATGGCTTGGTAAGCGGTGTGTAGGTCCACGCCCGGGATCCAAACTGGCGAACATCAGGCCACCAAAGCGGAGCACACGAACTTAACCATTCGGCCACAGGGCCAGCCCCTCTACCTTTTCATTTTAGTAAAATTGTATTTCCTCTAAAACCACAACTATATTTACATTTCCCTGGTTGACCCTAAAATGTTCTTTAGGGTTGGTTTTTCCAAGATGGTCTCTGATCCAAGACCACATATTGAATCCAGTTATGTCCCTTCCTTTTATTATGAGCCATAGTCCCTTTTCATATGATCTTGACTTGCTGAAGAGACCAGGCAGTTGCCCTACAGAACATCCCACCATCTGTATTTGCCTGGTTGCCTTGTCATATGTAGTTTAGCTCCTTACCCTATCCTCTAATTTCCTGTAAACTGCAAGTTATGTCTAAAGGCTTGATGGGTTTAAGTTAAAAGTTTTGGCAAGAATACATGTCAAGTGATATTGTGTGCTTCGTATTACATCACATTAGCAAACATATGTGGTTGAACGCCCGTGAATGACTGACCATTTGACCAGGGTGAGTTATGTGTTCCTTAGGTTGCAACAAAAATGATCCCTGTGAAGCTCAGTTTTTCAGCCTCACACTATTGATATTTTGAGCCAGATAATTGTAGGGCCCTGTCCTGTGCATTGTAGGATGTTGAGCAGCATCCCTGGCCTCTACCCACCAGATGCCAATAGCAGTTATACAACCAAGAATGTTTCCAGGAGCCGGCCCCGTGGCTGAGTGGTTAAATTCCCCTGCTCTGCTTCAGCGGCCCAGGGTTTCACCGGTTCAGATCCTGGATGTGGACATGGCACCGCTCATCAGGCCACGCTGAGGTGGTGTCCCACATGCCACAACTAGGAGGACCCACATCTAAAATATACAACTGTGTACTTGGGTTATTTGGGGAGAAAAAGCAGAAAAAAATAAGAAAGATTGGCAACAGTTGTTAGCTCAGGTGCCAATCTTTAAAAAAAAAAAAGCCTATCTATTAAAAAAAAAAAGAATGTTTCCAGACATTACTAAATGTCCTCTAGGATCAAAATCACCCCCAGTTGAGAACCAGTAGTCTAGCGTAAGGAAAAGAGGAAGGAAGTATTTATGGGAAGGATACTAGTTTATCTCCTAAAATTAGTGGGGACGTTCTCTCAGGTGGAAACACCCAGGCACCTCTGAGGACCTTGGTCATGGGAGTTTGAGGGCTCCTAGAGCGCTGCCATTAACACGGCTCTGCCCCAGCGATGCCCAGAGTCTCTTTCCCCTCCTGTGATTCTAGGGAGAGACCAGCTGATTCACTCAGGTTGGCTCCAGTGCTTACTTTTTAGCCAATCAGCTGTGGCAACACAGACATGGCTTCTAGGTACTCACTCCGGAGGGCCGAACTTTCTCAGAGAAGGCAGAGCACTAAGCTGGGTAAACCCCCAAGAAGTTTCTTCTTCTCTAGTACCTAAGAGAGTGCCCATTAGGACGTCTGCCTCAGCCCCTGGTCTCAGCTGCTGCCACCTAGAATCTGCGTCCCTGGTGCAGAGACTGTTACTCTTAGACCCCTGCCCAGGCCCATCTCTGTCCTTCTCTCCCAAGCCTACGCCCTCGGAGGCAGGACCAGCTGCAGCAACCAAGGAGGACCAGGAGGCGAGCAGAGCAGCCCACTCTAGCCCCATCTCAGACAGCATCTCTAGCCCCTGCCCTCTCCATGCCCCACACATCAGGCCTAAGTCCTGCAGGGTAGTTAGCCAGGGTGTGGCTTCAAAATGCAAATGGATCTGCCTGCGGCTCTGCCACCAGCAACCCATCAGTATCACTTGTGTATAATTTAGCCTTTCTCTAGCAGATTCAGAGAGTGGGGGATTGAGACAATGGCCAGGTAGAAAAGGGACACTATGCCACTGCTTCCGTTTCCTTTAATAGCTATCAGGATACATCTCAGGCTGGATAACCTTGCCCCAGAAAAACAAGAATAGTCGCGAGAAGCTGGAAGCTGGTGCCACCGGACAGGGAGGAGGTCTCCTGGCGGGAAGTATCAAGTGGTAGCAGCAGAAAAGGAGTAAGTGGGCCAGTCTTTCTCGCTTGAAGAAAAGAAAGAGGTTAAGGGTTGGGGGGGAGGAATGAATAGCTGGAGCACGGAGGCGTATTAGGGCAGTGAAATTGTAATTGTGGATATATGCCGTTATACATTTGTCCGAACACAGAGTGTATAACAGCAGGAGTGGACCCTAGCGTAACTGTGGACTCGGGGTGTGATGATGTGTCAGTGCAATTCATCAGCTGTAACTAATGCTCCCCTCTGGTGGGGAATGGCAATAATGGGGGAGGCTGTGCGTGTGTGGCGGCTGCGGGTATATGGGAAATCTCTGCACCTTCCCCTCAATTTTGCTGTGAAGCAAAAACTGCTCTTAAAAAGTGAAGTCCTTTTAAAGAAAAGAAAGAGTGTCAGCCCACAAAAGTATTTCAGAGCCAGGAAAATTAAGAACTTTAGATGCCCCAAACCTCAAACACTGGGAAAACTATGGCGGCCCACCTCCCCTTCAAAAAAGATCTTTAAAACTAAAGGAAAGTCCTGCAGAGATCTGTTTTTTTTCTTATGATGACTACTACTTGGATGCTATTTTTGAAGTATGAAATATAAACTCCTTTCATTTCCCCTCATTTTCTTGGTGCCCCTGCTTTGTGGGTCCTCTCATGTATCTGTACTCTGCCTTCTGGGGAACCGAGCACCGCAGGGGCCCAGGAGCAGTGAGTGGGCAGGAGAAGAGCTCTAGGGCTCCTGGAAAACTGGATGCGTTCCCCCTAGAAAACCCCTGTTTGTGCCACAGTGCCTCACGTGGCATCGGCACATACACAGATTTTAAAATGAATGAGCGAGCGGTTGAGGATAAGGAACTGTCAACTACTGTGTAAAATTTCAAGTACATTAGGAGTTAAATAAACCTTTGAACTGTTTTGTCGGACCAGTAAATGTGTACCGTAAGCTGAATAATGGCCCCCAAAGGTGTCTACATCCTAATGCCCAGAACCCGTGAATAGGTTACCTTACACAGGAAAGCGACTTTGCAGATGTGATTAAATTCAGGGTCTTGAGATGGGGGGATTATCCGGGATAATCCAGGTGGCCCCACTGGAATCACAAGGGTTCTTATGAGTGAACGAGGGAGGCGGGAGGGTCAGGGTCAGAGATGTGAGGCTGGAAGTGATGGGACTGCTGGCCAGGAGCCAAGGAATGCAGCAGCCTCTGGAAGCTGGAAAAGGCGAGGAAACCAATGCTCCCCTAGGGCCTCCAGGAGGAAGGCAGCCCCACCGACCCCCTGACATTAGCCCTGGGAGACCCATTGGGACTTCTGACCTCCAGAACCATAAGAGAATAAATTTGCGTTGTTTTCATCAAATCTGTGGTGACTTCTTACCGCAGCAAGAGGAAAGTCATGCACTGCATATATCGCTTTCCTCCCCCTAGGGAAAACGTTTTCTGAATTCCAGGTATTTAATCAAGAAATAAGCCTTTGAAACATGGCCCATTTGCATTTTGGAGTCCACCCTTATTTACCTTCTTGTTCCGTTGTGTCTATCTCCAGGGTCTTAGGGAAGCCAAACTTATTCATCTGTAGAATGAGATCTTGATCTTTCTGCCTTGAAAAACCACTGTAAACCTCCAAAAGATTTTTATTTTAAAAACATGTACTCTTGGATTTTAAAATTATTTAAACATGATAATAGGCCTGTGAAAAACCTATTTCCCTTTAACTGGATATGAGGGTAAGCAAGAAATATGGATGAGGCTTTCTTAATTAGAGAAGATCAAATTGGCAGAGAAGAGTGACAGCATCTAGTACATTCTGAAGTTGCTTTGCTGAAAGCAAACGTGGATGCTTTGGGTTCATTTCCTTCAAAAGAACTAGGGCTGAACCTGCTACCCCCTAAACTCCTGCCCATTTCCCCCTCGTACCTTGGGAATAAGAGACTGAGTTGTCTAGCATTTGTAAAAGTTTTTGTAAAAGGAACGGTGGGCGCTGTCAGATAAGAACTGATGCTTAAGGAAAGAAGATTTCAAAAGATTCCGAGACCAGAAGGAAAGGGACTCAAGGCCAGAAAATCTAAAAGGAAACATGATAAACTCGAAAACATGGGATTTAGATAATAAAATTAAATGATGCTGATTGAGGAAGGGAAGGAGGACGTGGTTTCTAAAGAAAGCAGCCACGGGGCTGAGTCTGTTCTGCAGGGAGTTCTCTAATGAGCCAAGACTGGAAGTGCACGTTAGGAAGTAGAGAAAGACAAATATAAAGGAGGCTGCCAAGAAAACGAATGGCCAGTGTGAGCTTAACCATGCAGAAAATGGTAACAACAACAAGAAGGGCCTTTTTAGTTCTCGGGCTGGCTGATGCTTGGAGGCAAGTCAGCGTGGGCAGCTGATGGCCAAGCGAAGCCCGTGTGCTCAGCTGTTCTCTAGCGTGCACTGCCCCCAGCACAGACGGCGGCTCTGCCTTGGAGCCCAGACAGAACTGGGTGGTAAAGGGGAGAAATGGAGCCCAGATAGTCAAGAGACAGTAAAAGAACACCTGGTGGTTTGAGGTAGTTCAAGGCTAGGCCTGTGAGATTATGTTCCAGGGTGCAGGATGACCTTCGGGGGAGCCCTTTTAAACTTTCACTATAATGACCACTAGCAGGATCCTTGAGGAATCACTGAGCAGGGCTAAAAGTCTCAGAAGGGCCAGTGTCTCCCTAATATTCCAAGAGCAGATACCGATGAACGTGAACAACATTCCATAGGGAGGTGCTCTGCCGGTCCACGGCCAGACTGCAGAGTGCATTAGTACATGTGTGGTTTGTGAACTCAGAGGAAGAAAGAAGGTGGTGAGGATTCAGAGTCAGCACGGGGGGCCTTGTAACCCCAAGTCCTGTTAGCCTCATTGCCTCTGGGTTAATGTAGACAAACGGGTAGATCAGGGCATTGTCATGGGCATAGACTCATAGACTATCAGGACTGGAAGCAACTGTAATGTAATTTATTCCCCTCATTTTACAGATAAGGAGATGAGCCCTAAACAGTCAGAGGAGACTGTCTGGGCAATACAGAGACTTGGGCCCCTCCAACTCCAGCCTTCCCCTTGGAGTCTCACGCTAACGCACAGGATTTCAACAAGGCATCTAGCAGATGCCACAATTATGGGCTGGATGACCTTAGAATTATGGGCTTTATCACTGCTTGAACAGCCAAAATCCAGAGTCTTAATTTACTCCCTGAGCATTAACCTGAACAAAGGCTTGTATATAGCTCTCTCCTCTCGGTACTTTAAGAAATGATTCACATGTACAAATAGAACACCCAGTTCAAGAAGACACAAAGAGGAGAGAGAGACCTAAAGCACTGGATGAAAGAACCCAAGATTTCTCAGTACCTTGAAAGAAGTTCAGAACCAAGAGTCTACAATTTAAAGAAGGGTGAATAATGGAGGATTTAAACAATTTCACAAACGCCGAATGAGGAAGACCTAGCTCAATGGCAGCTCTTGTGAAAAATATGGAGGGACTTTAGCATAAGTAAAACGTGAACTAATAGAGCAATGGGGCTGCCAAGAAGGCGAATACGGCCTTATGCTGTGTGGTAGGCAGACTGGTGGCCCCCCAAAGATATCCATGTCCTCAGTCCTGAGGCCATGATTATCTCACCGTCCATGGCAAAGGGGACTTTGCAGATGTGATTGAAATAAGGATCTTGAGATGGGGAAGTTGTCCTGGATAATCCAGGTGGGCCCATTGTACTCACAAGGGTCCTTACAAGTGACAGGAGGCAGGAGGGTCAGAGGAAGAGAAGGAAGTGTGACAACAGAAGTAGAGGTAGGAGTGATGCTGGACCACAAGCCAAGGAATGCGGGCTGCCTCTGGAAGCTGGAAAAGGCAAGGAAATGGATTTTCTCCTAGACCTTCCAGAAGAAACACAGCCTTAATAACCTATTTTAGCTTTCTGACTTCTAGAACTGTAAGAGAATAAATTTGTGACAGCTGTTACAGCAGCAACAGGAAACTAACACAGGTTGCATTCACAGTGATTAGAGTGTCCAGCCAAGCAGAGGCTGTACAGTGCACTCATTAGATGACATCTGAAATGTGAGGTTCCGTTCTGGTTTGGGTTTTAGGAAGCATGTTGACAAAGTCAAGTACATACCAAATGTTGAAGAACTTCGGAGTCACAGCAAATGAAAAGGAGCTGAAGGGATTGGATATTTCCAGCCTGAATAAGATGAACACATTACAGTTGTCTTCAAATGTTTAAAGGGGGAACAGGTCAAAGAGAGATTAAGATCACTGGAACCCCAGAGGGCAGAATTAGAACTAGGAAGTTGGAGTTACAGGGAAATTCAGGTCATTCTAATGAAGACGTTTACAGCAATCCAAGCTGCAGACCCAGTAAATGCTGTGTCTTGCTAGGCCGTAAGCATCCCATCACTGGAAGCATTCAATCAGAGACTGAGTGGTCACTATTCAGTGATGTTAGAGAGGATTCCTCCGTGGGGTCACGATCGGTCAGGAAGACTGCTCTAAGCGCCTTTAGGATTTGAAGACTTGATGGCTCTAGAAAAGACAAAGCATATTTTCACTAGAGTCCAGATCTTCCTTGTGCTAAAATTTGTAATTAAATCTCATGGGAAAATAAAAAGCAGTAGCAGAAGTTCTCACTTCTGTTTCTTGTGTAACCTTCAGTGCTGTTTTTAATCTTCTCGAGAGCTGTCATCTTGATAAGTAAATATTGAGGTCAGTATCTCACAGTTGGTGTACTTCAAAGACTGCAAGGCCCCCGCAGTGGGGGTCCGTGGGTCGTCTGGGAGGAACCTGCAGTCTCCCCACTCTGACCCTCAGGCTGGGCTAGGGGACCTCGGTTCTGCCCTACCTTAAGAGCGGCCACACCTCAGATTAGTTCTTCACTCCTCAAACAAAACAGTATCTCCTTCAGGTCAGGAGGCAAAGGAGGTAGCAACATGTGAAATGAAGATGATTAGATCAGTGGGCCGCTCCCCTTTGGGAACCAAGTCTCCTGTAGTAATGGAGTTGCTGGGAGAGGACAGAATGAAGCAGCGGCCCATTCTGCTGATGAGTATTGATGACAGCATCTTCCACCTGGCCCAAGGTTCTCAATATGGAAGGTGGATGACCCAGCTAGAGGCCACTGGTGCTTTCTCGCCTCTCCGCAGTTTTCTCTGGAAGCCTTGACTAATTTCTGCTGCTGCTTGATTTACAAGAAAAAGAGCAAAGTGCCAAGTAAAACCAGTTCTCCTGTGGTCATCCTCTCCCCATGCTCCATCCTGTCCAGATGGTAGAGGCCTCTGACAGCACTCAGGCCCTGGGCTGACAGCCTCAGCTCTCCTGCAGGCACCAGGCACCAGGCACCGCCTGCCAGCTCTAGCCCCTGGAAGGAAAGCAGAAGTGCCTGTGTCAGTTGATTAAAACATTCTCAGTCAACGTGTCTGGACAAGTATCCACTTACCTCACACCCAGAGATGATTGTGGCCATAGCTACGTTTAGACATAATATTGACCTGCTTGATAACATTGTTCCTAAGTTGCTGCCTCCCCTTCATGCTCCTTTGTCCTTCCATTCAGGGGCTTGTGTCTGTGTGTTTTATACCTATCTGCTACATTTCTGTTTTAATTCAATAGATTCTTTTTTTAAGGCAAGAGAAAAAGAAACCATGCCTAAACACTGGGTGAGTGCGCGTTCAGAAATGGCCTCGTTTCCTTCCTGCACTTCTGTCTTGCAGGAGTCAAGGCCTGATGTTGTTTGTCTCTCACTTTATGATGACAACACCCATAGGGGGCTGAGGGCAGTGTGTCAACCTTCCCCACACCATCACACAGCAACACTCAAGTTTAGGTAAAAGCAGCATGCACACCCCAAGGCGCCCACCCGCCCCCTCTCCTGCCCCACTTCTGCCATCGCGCTGCCCACGCCCTCCCGCGAGAAGCTCTGGAGCTGCCTCTGAAGATAGTCAGGAGCCTGGGCTTCTGGTGAGCAGTGCGCAGCGGTGCCTCCTCCTCCTCAGGCGACATTTGTGCTCCATCCAAGAGGACGTACAGTGGCTTCTCTCCAACACCATCAAACTTTCCCAAAGGCATTTTTCTACGAAAAGTGAAAAGTCTTGGGGGACTCCGTTCACATCCCAGTTTTCTCATCGGCAAAATGGGAATAATGATGGTTCCCAAGTCACTGAGCAATTATGGGGATTACAGGACTTAATTCATGTAAAGCACTTAGAAGAGGCCCACCTAGCCCTTAATACGCAGAGCTCCTATTGTAATAACTGAATGAACAAAGAAATGAATGAATGAGTGAGTGCAACTTGAGTCTGTGCAAATGCCTTGGAAGTGAAAATTTTACACCCAGATTTGATTACTGAAATAACAGAGGCGAAAAATTCACCTCTTCTATGTAGACATTTTCAGAATTTTATGTTTGTATTTTGCCTTTGAAATACCTTTTTTTTTTGTTCAGGACTACACTTTGTTATATGAAGAGGCAAAATATTTTCAGCTTCAGCCTATGTTGTTGGAGATGGAAAGATGGAAGCAGGACAGAGAAACTGGTCGCTTTTCAAGGCCCTGTGAGTGCCTAGTGGTGCGCGTTGCCCCCGACCTCGGAGAAAGGATCACGCTCAGCGGTGACAAATCCTTGATAGAAGAAGTGTTTCCAGAGATCGGCGACGTGATGTGTAACTCTGTCAACGCAGGCTGGAATCACGACTCGACGCACGTCATCAGGTTTCCACTGAATGGCTACTGTCACCTCAACTCAGTCCAGGTATAGCATTGTCATATACTATGTGGCATTGAATGTCACTCTTAACATTGTTAACTTAACCTTGCCCTCACATGGTGCCTTTCCTCCAGAGAGCTGGAGAACTCTCATGTGGTAACACTTCCGTTGGGTAGGTAAACATATTCACCCCTCTACAGCATTCACTCAGTCCTTCCACAAATGTTATTGAATGTCGACTGTGTGCCAGGTGCTGGTATGAGCACTGGAGATATAGAAAAGAAGAAATAGACATTAGCACTGTTTTCATGAAACTTACATTAGGGGAATGGAGTGGGGGGCAAACTGTAACCAGCATTAATGTGGGTCACGTAGTGAGAAGAGGATATCTGGGATAGAGTATTCCAGGCAGAGCGACCAGCAAGTTCTGAAGACTCCACAGTAGGAACATCCTTGGCATACTGAGGAATATCGGGAAAACCAGTGTGGCTTGAAGAAGTGAAGCAGGGTTAGGGAGTGCTAAGACACGAGGCCAGCAGGCGGCCCGGGACAGATACTGGATTGCCTCATTAAGGGTAGTAAGCACTCTGGGGTTTTTTGTTTTGGTTTCTTTGGGTTTGGGTTCATTTTCACATGGGAGTAAAACGGAAGCCATTTGAGGATTTTGTGTGAAAGAGTGACATGCTGTAACTTGTATTTGAAAATGAATACTCCAGCAGCAGGTGGAAAACAGTGGAAGCAAGGGGACCAGTTGGAAAGCTATGGTCCAAGCCACAGCTGAGTCGTGTCTGACTCTGAATATCTTGAATGTAGAGCTAACAAGGTTTTTTGTTAACGGCTGTGGGTTGTAAAACAGAAGCCAAAGACAACTAAGATTTTTGGCAGAGGAACTGAATAAATGGAATTGCCGTTTTCTAAGATGGACAAGTCTATGGGAGGAGATGTGAGGGTGAAATACAGAACATTGGTTTACATCATGTGCGGTGCCATATGCCTTAGACACTGGTAGGTGTGGTCATCATCTTAGCTAACATGTGCCAGCGGCTGTATACGCATCATCATCTTACAACAGCTCGTAACAAGTCAGCCGTATTAATCCCCCTGAACTGTTGATGACAAAATGGAGGCACGCCTGGGTCTTGACTCCAGGTCTGTGTGCAAAATGATTTGAAGTCAATGGAGTGAGGGTTTGGCAGTTCCCCCCCTTTTTTAATTGGAATGGCCCATGACTTTATTCAATATTGACCCAACAAAACATCTCCCAAAGCTCAAAGACTAGAAGCACCCACTATACCATTCTGTCTCTTGAAGATTTTTCCATAACTATTTATAATTTTTAAAATTTATGAAAAGATGTCTGAGCAGAACAGCAGGAAACTGACAGAAACTGAGCCCTGGACGTCCCAGAGGAAGGCACACACTCTCAGGCAGTGGGGTAGCCGCTGGGTTGCACGGTCCAGAGGTGCGCCCCCATGCTGCCCTGTGCAGCATTCCTGAGTGGGGACGCTATTTATAAACGCCCCTGGAGCCCTGAAAGCCTTTCCCTTCCCACACACACCCTTCCTGGCGCTCCCCTAGACAGAGGGAGAGGCAGAGCCCTTCAGAGCCAGGACAGCATCCCATCGCTTCCCTAGGCCTCCACCTCTCACACAGAAAGCCTTGGCCCCACCCCTCAGGCCACCGAATAACTCTCATACATTCATATGCCTGCCAAGTTTCCCGATCATCCGAGGTTGATCAGTTGCAGAAATTTTCATCTGGATTAACCTCCTGCTTCCTGCCAAGAAACAGGCCCATCCTGTAGGCATTCAGAGGCTTTGGGATGGGGCACAGGAGACCTGCTGCCCCACAGAGTGAGTTTAATCTCTCAAATGATCCCTAACTTTAAGGAACTTTGCTATTAATAAGTTGATGTTTGAAAAGTAATGGCCAACGGGCATAACCTATTTGCATTAACGTTGGAATAAGCTTCGACCACATCCGAGCTAGCCCCGGGTCACACTGAAAAGTTATCCTATTATACGTTGCAGACAGACCCCCTGGGGAGGGAGCTTAGCGATTTCCTGATATTAGCAATTTAGCGACCTAACAACATTGAAAGACAAATGACACCAGAGTTAGGGTCTTTATTGTTCAAAGCATCCTCGACCTTTGAACTTCCTCTCCTAAGCGCAGCAAAGAACCCTCTCCAGGGCGGTGGTTTGGCCCAGCAAACTGGGCTTTTTCTTGCTGACAGGCTGCATCCCTGCCTCTGCTGGGGAGACCTCAGAGCGCGCTGGTCTTCACCTTCGATTCATCTGCCACCAGCGCACATCTTGATTTTGAACTTAGGCATTGTTTTCTTCATCCTGTCCTTTTGGGGACTGGCGTGCATATGCGTTGTGAATTTATGTACAAAAATAGAGCACGCAGCGTGGAGTGTTCATTTTGTTCTCATAAGGACTTTTTTAATTTGCCAGCATTTGAAGTTTTAATTTTTAGAAAGCATACTCTCTTGCTTTCCGGTCTCATCTAGTTAGCTGTTTTGCAAAATAGCAGATTATATTCCATATAAAAGTAGGTGACCAAAAACTAATAATTAAAAAAAAAACCAGTAAGGGTTCACTTTACATTGACTATATTTTGAAAGTTATTTCGTAACATTTCACTTCATTCCAAAAAAAAATCTGACTCAGGCCTTTTTTTTTTAAAAGCTGTGATTGAGTCATTTTGCCTTTAGAGTGGGGTAGCAGTAATCTAATTATATCCAGAATCCTGATGGGGAACGTTTGCAAGTCTAATATTCGTTGAATTCCTAAAGATACAGATGCTCTACATCAATTTCCTGTATCTCTGTCCAAGTCTTGCAGGAAACGTTTCCTGCCTTTAAGAGTGTCAGACACATGGTGACAAACCCAGGGATCTTTCTGGCATTAGATATTTGATTTCAAAATTAAAGAAGAGATTATGTGGCTTATGTTTATATGAGAAGTTTAGAATATCTTTATTTTGGATGTTTTCTAATATATACCCATTGCATTTATTCTTGCCTTCCTGAATGCATACAAAACAATAAATCTATTTCAAATGCCACAAATTGAAAACCTGTAGATAAACTTCAACTGTCTTCAGGAGTCCATTTGCTCTGCTATTGAAAGTACATCAGGGGCCGGCTCAGTAGCCGAGTGGTTAAGTTCACGCGCTCCGCTGCGGTGGCCCAGGGTTCGGATCCTGGGCGTGGACATGGCACCACTAGTCAGGCCACGTTGAGGCAGCATCCTACATCCCACAACTAGAAGGACCTGCAACTAAGATATACAGCTGTGTACAGGGGTGTTTGGGGAGATAAAGCAGAAAAAAAAAAAAAAAAAGATTGCAACAGTTGTTAGCCCAGGTGCCAATCTTTAAAAAAAAAAAAAGAAAGTACATCAGTTTTCCAAGCTGAAATATATTGACTCAGCATCGGGACACTTGAACAAGGGCAGAGTGGAGCATGAATCACTGGCTGAGTAAATTCAGATAATATCACTGACTTTCCACATCCTTTATCATCTCATTGAATATATTCTAGTGGTAAATGAGCGTTGAAATGTGAACCCTCTCTTTTTGCAGAGAAAGTAGCATTGCTCATTGCAAAAAACATGGGATTTGAGGCCAAACAGAGCTGAGTTGGAAACCCAGTTCCATCACTTACTAGCTCTGCGCCTCGGTTTTCTCATCTATAAAATGGGCTGACACCAGTCATTATGCCAGGGGGTTGTAATGATTTCATGCACTTGGCATGTGTAAAGTCAGCATGTAAAGGCCCATTTTAGGTACTGTATTAGGAACATTTGCTCCCTCCCTCCTGCCCTTTAATCCAGAGTCTTCGTTTGAAACCAGAAACTCAAAGAGACTTAGGGGTTGGATAACACTCACCAGAGCCGCACATGATCTCAAACTTTGGGAGATTTCTTTGGGCTGTTTCTGTGGCCAAAGGACCCATGTCGCCTCTAACCGGATGCTTGTCTTGGCCCCTCGCAGGTCCTCGAGAGGTTGCAGCAAAGAGGCTTTGAAATCGTGGGCTCCTGTGGGGGAGGAGTGGACTCGTCTCAGTTCAGCGAATACGTCCTGCGGCGGGAGCTGAGGCGGACGCCCCGTGTCCCCTCTGTCATCCGGATAAAGCAAGAGCCTCTGGACTAAACGGACATATTTCTTATGCAAAAAGGAAAAAACGTGCACAACCAATAACGCAAATAAAAAAGGGACATTTATGTGCAGTTGCGACAGCAAACCAAGTCCTGGACCTAAAATTGAATAAAAGACACATTTATATCCAGTAGAGACCACACCTGTATTCATATGGGAACAATTGGAATAGTGATATCCTCAAGGTGTAAAAAATATATAAATATATATATATATGTCAAAAGGTAGGAAATGCAAAAAAAGAGAAAAAAAAAGAAAACAGAAAAAAAAAGGTGGTAGCTACAGTTGGTGCTGTGATGGCCGTGAAGTGTCCTGGGCCTCCCAAGGCCTCTGACCAGTAAACAAGCCATGAGCAGTGAGGACGCATCTCCTTACAGTTTCCATTGCCAACAGCCATCCATTGTTTCTTTTTCTTTTGTCTTTCTTTTTCCTTTTTTTTTTTTTTTTAAAAAAAACAAAACAAAACAAAAAAAACACCTTGAATCGAGTTTCTTTGCATATGGCGGTTTCACGTCTGTTTAGGCGGGGACCAGGCAGGACTTCAGAAAAACGCTCATGAG